TCCAGATTGGTTTAGTGGATCAAAAGTTATTTAATTTTAAAATTTTATTATATATATAATAAATGATTATATATATAATATATATTATATATAATATATAAGTGTAATGTAAGACTTTTGGCTGATCCCCTCCCCCAAAAATATTATGTAATATCTGTCACTGCCCCTATAATATCTATACTACAAATTTTAATATCAACTAAATATCTGTTTAGGATTAGATAACCACTTTGCAATATTTATCTAGCATTTAGTAGATAATAACCAAGCCAAAAAATTTTATATAGATATTTTGTTTTTTTTATTTCTATTATATCTAGTTACATAAATATTCAGATAATTATCAACAACTTTTAAGGAATTGGTTTGTATATTTTTTGGTTGCTAAATTTTTTGAAGAGAATAACAGATTAAAATATAGTACTTTGATAAGTCTCCAATTGGTGAATAATGAATCATCCAGAGTGGCCATCAAAAACACAAATCTTGGTGCAGCAGTAGCAATACATCAATTACATGGTGCAGCAACATATATATAGATAATCACCATTAAACAATGAACTATTTCAAGTTTCTAATTAAATCGTTTATAACAAACTCAAAATTTTAAAATTTTATTATCGTTCAGTATAAAAAGTACCATGAACTCCTATGAAAACATAATAATTTTCTATAACGAGCTTTTTTTATTTCAGAATCTTTAGTTCATTAAAGAAAAGTTAACTATATTTATTATAAATTGTTATTTAGAATATTTTTTACTTGGTAAATTGATTTTTACTTGGTAAGTTGAAGTTTATTATGTTCTTTGATATATATAAATCATTTTTTTTTACAAATATAAATTAACAATATCATTATTAAATTAATTGACAATTCTCTAGTGAACTGAAGAATATTCATAGTGAAACGTGACGTGGTTTTATATATAAATTACTATAAGCACAAAAGTAGAACTTTTTTAGTGATTGTCCAAGAAAAACTTTTTTTATACTAAGTTAACTATCTTTGAGTCTCTAAGTAAAGTTGTAGAGCGTATCGAGATGAATCTAATAGTAGTTAGATCATTCAAATTGGTTTGGTAGATGCCAAAATATCTTTATATAGTTAGCAAAATATTTTTTAAAGATATCTTGGCATCCAC